GAATATGGCCGCCATGATGTCATTTCCGCCACATTTTTTACGCCCTGCGCCGGCTGGGCATGCCCTCTCCTTACCTTTTTCCTTCCTCCGTGTGAAGCCGCAATGAAGCCGGAAGTCGGCCATATTGAGTAGGCAAATTCTCCTCTCTTGTTTACATATGAATGCGAAGCAGAAGGCGCGACTCCCTCTCCGGCTCGGAAAGCACGTGGGCTGCGCAGCGCGTGTGTCGTGACGATCCGAAACTAATGGAACTGGGCTCATCACTCAGAGCCAGCGGGACACCTTCAGCGAAATAGCTTCGTCCGAGTAATAACAAAGAGTAACAGCTCGCTGACAACGAAGCAACTACGAAAGAACGCGCGCTAGATGCACTGACAACGGCGAGTGCTTTCACGTCATTAATTCAGCAACTGCACAGACAACACGATCGGTCGTGCGCCTTCTACGGTTGCATTCCGCCACGCGACTGACGCAGCGTCCTGCCACTGTGTCCGTGTTCCGCGTGAAACTCACCTGCGTCAGCATTCTGCGACCGTGGTGACTTTGAGCACGGTGCTAGTGACAGTTGAACGTGGTTGCTGTTACGTTGAGATTACATGCAATGCTGGTGGAGAGTGTACCAAGCGGAACAGAAAAGGTGTTTTAATACGCACATGCAAGTTGTTACTGTACACACACAACACGAAACTACGTATGTGCACATGGTCCTCACGGCGTCTTGCTGGGCTCAACAGCGTCGTCCGTTGTCACAAGCAGGAGCACTGCTCAACCGCCACTGACCTGCAAGGCGTTCGTCGTCATTCAGCTTCGTCATGGTGCCCAACGCCATTTCGCTGAACACTAACTGCTTCATCCGCGTCATCCGCCGCACGACACATGGATATGCACTTGTTCTACGCACTGTTGAAACCCCATGATGGACAAAGAGATTTGTAAACGTTGCTAAGAGTAATGTAACAGCCAGACGAACACTGCGTAACCAATAACGCGGCGCAGAGCACAGATATTGTCCGCCACGGCTCAGCACGAGACCTGGGGAGGCACACATTCCGCCGCCAGCCGCGGCCGCTCACTGCTAGACCAGCTTCACTGCGCAACACGTAACCATAACAACGCCGCCATTGTGCCTACTGAATATGGCCGCCATGATGTCGTTTCCGCCACATTTTTTACGCCCTGCGCCGGCTGGGCATGCCCTCTCCTTACCTTTTTCCTTCCTCCGTGTCATGTAGTTTCTTTACCTGCAGCAGAACCAACGCACGGTGCTGTACGTCAGAAGCACGGCTCACGAGTACTCGCAACGTAAATACTTCAGTTACGGGTGCTGGTCAATCCGCACCGTCACGCGCAATGTTCTCGTACTTTCTAGGCTTCTTGTTAGACGTTGTTTAGCCCACAAAGCACAACAGTCGTTAAAGGCAGATAACTGCGCTATTCTGATATAGCACCAACCTCTAGACATGGCTAATTAGTTTAACCCACATTGGGCACGTCTACGCTGCCGTTGGTAAAGATTCTTGAAGTCGCATGAAAACTTCCAAGTTGACTTAGACAGCTGTTTTCTATTGTCAAACCGAGCCTATCATCCCCCCCCCACACACACACACACACACACACACACACACACACACACACACACACACCGATTTCTTCAAGTGATAAAACTGTACACTTTTTCAGTCACTGTTGACGGGCTGTTCGTTTTCCTGCTTCCGTGCGCCGCGCCAAAAAAAGCTGCGCGTGTGTCGCCATCTTTGAGTTGACTACTGACTCACGCAGGTTGCACCATGGCCTTTGAGATGGCGGGCGCATAATCTGTGTCAAAATCTGCCACGCGTTTGCCATCTCGAAGGCCATAGGTAGACACCCAAGCTTTGTGACGACCATTTTTTGTGTGCCTCAGAGCTCAAAGTAGTTGACGGTAGAAGAACGAGAAATATACGATGTTGTACGAACTGCGCGGCAACGGCACTGTGGAATGAGCATAAGTAGAATTACTTTACATGTTACATTTAAAAGGTAGCATATACAGTAACTTTAACCATAACACACTCCCTGTAGGTTGCTGTATCTTGACTATAGATGGCGTAGGCTGTTCCAGGCTCGGCTTTTGCATTGAGCAAATGGGAAAATTTGAGCGCGGCAAGTATACATCATAGGTTTTATAGGTGTTCAGTGGGCAAGTGTCCAGGCACGTGCGCTGCGGCTGGGCTGGTAGCGTGTAGACGGACCCTAACGGGTAGAAAATGCATTGTGTCTGGCAGCAACACGGGCCACAAGACATTTTTGTGCACCAGAAGACGTCAAACTTTTGAACAAGTGGTGGCGCCATTGCGTGAAAAAATAGAATCCTTCACTATACCGATTTTGTCTGCCAGACATTTCGAACCCAAATTCGTGTGCAAATAATGAACGGCCCGCGACAAAGGGCACGTTCTAAACGCTGTGCCGACAATGTTGCCCATAGAGTTAACATAACTCCAGTCGTATCCTAACCTCAGAACACCTCTGATGTTTCCCGACTGCCCGGCATACCTCTACCTGTCCAAACCTTCTGGACACTTTCACTCCCAGTACCTGTTCAAAACATTTTCTCTCCTGTAAAAGAAAACTTTCTTGCACAAGTTTCTTGCAATGTAAGTGCAATTGACCACCTACCATCACGCGCGTCATCGACTGTTGTGTCCCCCCAACCGTGCGGAACACCTGGTGTAATCAGGCCCGTTACATCATATGACGTCACACCAGAACTTTTGATATCATGACGACGTCATATGTAGACGCCATCACGTTATGATTTTTGGCATCACTCGTCCCGACGCCGTGTGACGGTGGCCGCCGATGGTCAAATTTCCTGTCTGAGGAAGCATATAAAGACTTTCGCCCTAAAAAGTTCATAGCGTTCCTTACATGTGCATTCACTAAAGAGGACTCGAAAGCGATAGCCATCTGCTTTCCTTGTATTGATCGTGCCTTTGCAGTGCCTCCAGGAGGCACCTCACCTGGTTTTTCATTGCCTTCGTGATAAAACTACATTTGACTAAGCTATAGTGGCATATGTGCGATGATGTCGCCGTGTGATGTCATGAGTACGCCATGAACTGCGGCAATCTGTGACATAATCACAAGATGGTGATATTCTGCATCACTCATCCCCGCCGATGCAGGACGCCGACGACCAAGCTTCGTGTTTAATGAGGCATCTAATGCTTTTACCTCAACAAAAAAAAAAACAGCACAATTCATTCTAAATCACTCTAACAAAACGCTTCCGCACTAAAAGCACCCTTTGCTTCGTTGTGGCACAGCAAAGTCATACCACTCATGCCGCATACGTCTAGCATGTCATACAAATTTGTTCATTTACAGGCACTGTCGTGTGACTAGATGGCTCACACAGCTGTCTGGCTGCTACGCATTTCGTATTCCCCGTTATTTGCCCCACTACATATGGCGGACTGGAGGTGCCACTAGCCAACCTGCGTTTTTGCGACGCCCTTATGAATGCACCTATATTCGCTTCGTCTTTCGCAGCATGAAGAGTTGATCGTTTGAGGTTGAGAAAAGGCAAAAAAGGATGCAAACAAAGCTCCGGTACCCGTTTTATCACTCATATTTAGCTACGCTTTCCTTATACGCACCGGCTAGACCTGAAAACAAAGCCTGCAACATAGCACGCCTTTACCGCGGGAAGTGCAAAGCCACAGCGAATCATCCACCACGTTTGGAGGCCAGTTCACACACTTCTCTTGTTCTTCCGCCATGAAGTAACCTCAGTCCTCCAAGCTTTTTTCTTTTTGTCATTGCCTGTCCACTGAGGTTGTGGCAGGAGCCCTATCAGGGTTTATTTGTGCACCTCAGAATATACTTAGTCTTGCATGTTTCTTTTTTAATGCCTGTTCGTGGAGTTTGTAGCAGCCATAACACAAGAGTATGATATACACTGAAACAAGATGTATACTGTAATATTTGCAGTACCAAAAACATAATAAAAAATGAGCAGCTTTGATGAACAGTACACGCTACAAAGACATGTTTGCACACAATATCTTTATCACTCACATTGAAAAGGAGCATAGCTTTCCGATAGAAGAAAAAAATTCAGCATTGGTTAAAACTGGACAACAAAAAAAAACATCAAAATATTTAAAATATGATAAAGGTGATAAGCCATAAGGGTTTAGTGCACAAATATGTTAAATACCAAAAACATAAGTATAAAAATTTTGCACACACTAGAACCCTTTACCCCCTTGATGGTTTCATGAGAAACCTTCACAAATTACAGGTTTTTCTTTGTATGCTCTAGGTAATTGGCACGGAAAAATAACTTCATATATTAAATGCATTAAAACAAATATTTGTTAAAGAACACATATAAAGAATTTTATACTTAAGTGCAAGAGTAGGTTGGCTTCCCAGCACAGCTTTCACTCAGATTGCCTCTTATAATTGTCGTGTAAAATGCTACTATTAGGGTAAAGCTGCACCATCTGTGCATGAAAGAGTTAACCATGGGCGAGCTCAGATGATCCACGGTCATGGAGCAAGACTATATAGGAGGTGAAACTCCCATGATCATGTGCACGACTGACCAGGTAATGTAAAAAAATGTAGTGCATGACAACAGAGGCAAATGCAGTGTGGGCACCTTCCGGCAGATGTATCAAAACAAACAATAGAAACCGAAACAGGCAGATTCCACAGTAGCATGCAGCCCAACGAGACCAACACCATGAAAAGCTCCCTTTGTATCGAAAACAGCTTCAATTTCCTTGTCAGCCACTAGCGTGATATCTGATTCACCGGAGCATGACTTGGTTTGCTTGCCACAAATAGTGGAGTTTCAACTCCTAAATGTGTCTTGTTTCGCATGCATACAGAATTGATGGATGTGCTGAGGTCGTGTGTAGGTTAACAATAATGATAATTGTTCTGAGTTTTACATCCTAAAATTACAATATGGTTATGAGAGACACCGCAGTGGAGGGCTCCAGAACTTTTCATCACCTGGTGCTCTTTAACGTATGCCTAAATCTAAGAACATGGGCCCCTAGCATATCAGCTTCATTGAAAAAGCAGCTGCAGTGGTCACGACTCGATCTCATGATCGTAGGGTCAGAGCTCATATGTGGGAGGTAAATGGTTAGTGCCACTGTAACTACGCTTCAGTTCTCTTTGTTCAGCCAGTCATCCAACTCTTGCTGCCAAGGGATGACCTCAGCCCTACTGAACCACAAGTTGATTTCCCTCTTCGAGCTGTCCAAGGAGTCGCTGCCGTGAACAACATTCCTGAAATGATGTGCGCGACAGAAAGCAAGAGTAAAGTCATTGAAAGCAGTCAAGCAAACAAGCCTAAAATTTATATGTACACAAAAAGGCAAATAACAATTCAAGTCAGAGTGAGATATCAATGTTTGAGAACGTCCAGAGTGTCAATATTATCAACAACAGTGCTCTACTAATCGAGAAATTAAGGTAAATGCATGACACCATATGCACCACGACTGGGTTATCTTGTAATGATCCCAACAATTTTATAAACGAGTCCCAAGTACAGCTAATCACTAATAATCAAACCAATTGCAATAAAGAATGAACCTTCAATGCATCGCAACACGTAATAAAATGCTGCTTGTTTGATTCTGCTTGATTCATAGAAAAAGAACTGCTTGGCGTTACTGTGAGAAATGGCATGAGTGGCTCAGAAGTTTTGCTTTCGCCGAACTACGCTTTTCTCACGTGATCGCGTCCCAGTGGTAGATTCTATATCATATAGCGCTGCGCTGCTTTGTATTCCCACAAAGGTCACTGTGACAGGAAGTTCAACAAAATGCCATGTGCATGTCATGTTGCCGGATGTTCAAATTGTGTACGCCTCCTGAGCTGCAGCAAAGAGACGGTCATTACTTTCCACTGGTTGCAGTAAAACGAACCCCTATACTCGAAGTGGCCGAGTGCCGTGCCTATTCACCAATGTGCAAAACAGCCAGAAAATCTGTATGTGCACTTGCTGCACTTCCATGCTGAGAGTTACGGGATCCTCTGCATGGTGGCTATTGTTGCTACTGCAGCTCCCGCTAGTTTCACTCTGCTGCTACTAGTATCGACGGGCACACAGCAAAGGCGTGCAACATTCGGCAACTCGAGTGCTTCATCAGGAAGCCCTTCAGGCAAGTGATTTCAAATCCGCGAGTGCCGTATGAATCACTGAATTATGTTTTTAATTTTAAAAAAAGCATTCCCTTGGCACAAATGTAGCACGAGGAGGTTTCTAGACCGTTATTTTAACACAGACTTAACATTTGCCTTCAGTGTCGCTTTAATGATGTACTTCTTTAAAAATGTAATAGTAGTGCAGGAAGTTGGACAAAGCTATGCTGGCCACAAGGGCACTATCTCTGAGCTTTGTGCCATGAAGCTTGCTTTGTAGTATCTGCTCCACAGTTAGCGGAGTGTTAAAACGAACTAGTCCAATTTTGTACACTTGCATGCATGGTCGTCGGCAAGATTTTCTTTTGGGGGGTGCAAACCAGTGTTGCATCGCTTCTAGGGGGAGGGGGGGGGAGCTGGTGTAGCTTGGGTTAGGGCAAGTGCTGGTGGGGCTTGAGGGGGCAAGTGCCCCTTTCGCACCCCCCCTGCCGATGCTTATGCTTGCATGTGCTGGGACTTAAGCAGAAAGCATACGATGTTTGAAACATTCTGAATTCAAGCAGTTTTATTTATCACATCTCCGTGAGACTCCATGCTGTCCCCTTCCTCGTCACTACGAGGGCCAAGATGGTGGGTGAAATTGAGCAGCGGTGCATTCATCTTCCCCATGCTGATCACAATAGTCCTCGCATTTGTAAATAATGTGTCAGTGTGGAATGCCAAATGATATCTTTGTGAACTGAAGATAATGACACAACCAAGGCCCCTAATATTTTTAGTGCTGTTTAGTGTTTTCAAAATGTATGGGAACCAAAACCGTCAACTGTGCTACTCTACCATGCCATTTTCAGGTGGATGGTAAGTGGTGGCATGTACTATGAGGTGGATGCCCAGAAAAACTATGAAAGCAGCAAAAACAACAATTTAAGCTGCCTTGCACGGTCAGTAGTAAAAAAGGTGTGGCAGTTGAAATGCACCACCAGTCACTATTATAAGCAGTTGCTAAAGCCACCTGGGTGAATAAGCAGCTACTAAAGCCACTGGGATAATAAATGATTCACACCATGTGGCCAGCAGGTGCAACTGCGAGCTGTGACCCATGTTACCTGTAGTTGAATATTGCTAGGCAAGACAGTCATATTACCTTCCAGTTGCAATTCCATAGTCGCCTCGTATGGTACCAGGGCTCGACTTGAGTGGATCAGTGGCACCTATGATATCTCGTGCCCTTTTGACAATGTCTTTGCCTTCCCATACCTGGAGAAGCATACGAGGACAGTTTACTTTCCCATACACACCAACCATTGAACCAGAGCTTCTTCATTGTGTACTGTTACCGGTAAAATGTATAAGTTCGATTACATAGTACCTAAGACATTCGCAGAAGAGTGCTACCAGCTGTAGCACTGCACTGCTCCACACATTATACAAACAGGATACCATGATCAAGCAAGTTCAAATCAAATAATGCGATCCAAGCATCAATCCCTTCAGTTCAAAGGGTAACACGTTTGTTGCCATACAAGCCACAAAGGAGCAAAACAGCATGCAGAGCACTCACTGGAGTGCTCTGCATGCTACACAATCCCATAGTCACTTCTATAAAGCTTGTGACTATTATCGACGTGAAATGAAAACAATATAGCAGTAGGCATCATGTATGGTCACTGGTGCTCCTTTCTCATAGTCCAACAACTGCGTGTCCGCATTTGAAATTTTGAAAGTACGCCCGACTTTCAGACCAGTGCTGCACCACTTCGACACTGCTCCACACATTATACAAAGAGGATACCAAGATCAAGCAAGTTCAAATCAAATGATGTGATGACCGCATCAATCCCTTCAGTTCAATGGGTAACACGTTTGTTGCCATACAAACCACAAAGGAGCACAACTCACTCACTGGAGTGCTCTGCATGCTACACACTCCCATAGTCACTTCTATAAAGCTTGTGACTATTATCGCTGTCAAATGAAAACCAAATAGCGATAGGCATCATGTATGTTATAGTGCACTGCGTCCAGTTATCACCATTCACAAGTGCGCAGCAATACAATCGGGCAGCACTGTGAATGTCCAAGGGCATGAGTGGACGGAGGACACTGTACTATTGCTAATACTTGCTACTGTTCAGGTTTCATTTGATGCCTATAGTACAGTATGCACAAACGTATTATGCACGAATGCCACCACATGCGGTCTGTGTGGGCACAGAAGCACCAAACTTTGCACAGTAACGTAACTGAGTGGTGAGTGTGCGTATTGCTGCAGGGATACGAGTTAGAATACCACTCTTAGGCAAAGCTTTGGTTTTCTTCACCCTATGGATGAACTTAAGCTGAGAATGAGGACTCTCACATTTAATGAGCAGCACAGGAACTGCATGCCACTGGAGAACTCAATTCTAATTTTTGCTGCCTAACTATAGCGTCAAAGCACACTTTATGACCACACTACATGATGAATTATTTTTGCACTACAGTGTCCAAGTCCAACTATATGAATATTAATATCCCAAACGGTTGCAAGATCCCGCAAGGTGGAATAAGGTTCATGAAAAGAAAAAAATATCCTTGTCCACCCAAATGTAGTGCAAAGCTGCAATAGAAGTCTGCATTGAACACTGATTACATTTTTGGCTTGATCGGGGATTCAAACCCAGAATCTTTTTCAATAATGTTTCCTTCGAAAAAAGAAACGTACAGCGTACCACTCACATAAGGATAAGAATCTCTTTTCATTTATATTATTTTAATCAGTGCTATTTATTATTTCATAAATCAGGCACTTATTTATTATGTCTACGAATGCGACTGCTCAAAGGGAATGTTAAAAAGAAGTTCGAGGAATTTGACAGTTTATCGAACGTCTTGTTCACCTTACCATGATCACGATAGGACCCATCTGCATGTACTGTATGAGGGCGGGGAAAAACGGACGTTCAGCGAGCTCCTCATAGTGCTTTTTCAATGTTTCTTCGGTTGCCTGCAAAATGTGAAAGCAAGTCAATCGTTAAAAGGCATAGTAATCAGAGTTAATCCATCCGAAAAACTTCCGATAGCGAGAATACATTGTTGCTAAGGCATTGGTAAATTATGAGGATGAAAGGGGACGGCAGCTAATCGAACAGCAGCACAAAGCCCCAATTTATTTTTCGGACCCACAGAAGTCGCTGAAAAAGGAATTCCTTAGCCGCCGTTAGCTTCAATATCTCGGATTTCAATGCTGTCAAGCGCAAAGAAAAAGCTTCTTTCGTTTCGTGTGAGCAAGGCTAAGCTTGTGTCCGCGTTAATAATACAGTGTAAGGCCGCACTCAATCAACATCCTAAACTAGCAACGCGTTTCTACTGCATCGCTTGTTTCACGACTAATTGGTTTAATGCACAACGAACAGAAAATAAAGTTTAGAGCAGAACAAAAGTGGACGATAAGATCAGCGAACAGAAGCGCCAGATGAATCCAAAACCATGGATCGCGTTTGCCGGGCAAGCGTTTATGCGGAGGGAAATAGGCTGGATCAATTTACCTGTACATAACTGGTATCTATATACGAACAGCTCTACTAACCTGAAGGAACTTCATAGCCACTAATTTGAAGCCATTCTTCTCAAAGCGGCTGACTACTCGGCCGATCAGGCCCCTCTGCACACCGTCCGGCTTGACGATAACGAACGTGCGCTCGCGGAAAGCCTGCACCGCGGACGACATGGATGCGAATAGAGAGAGGAGTATTCCTACTACCATTTGGCACGGGTGTCTCTTTTTATTGGCGCTATTTATACACACGAATTAAGCGCTCCGGTCAAAGGTTGGCACACGCAGAGACCGGCAGTGGCGTGCGTGCGTGATTGATCCGGTGTGCGTGCGTGCGGATACGAAACGCGTGGACAAAAAACGTTCCGACATGAGATGTAGTGCGTCAGTTTACGTAATACACGAGCCGTATAAACTGCTTTACCACAATGAAATTACTCCTATAGTCTGTAAAGTGTACATATGCACCGTTTAGGCAAGGTAATTAGGTATTTAACGCAGGAAATTGATAACTCAATTTGAACTAACAGACGGCATTGCCCCAATGTGGCTTACAACAAAACGCGCTGCTATTAGTTTGCGCGAAATTGAGTAAAAAAGTTTGCTTGCATTTTTCTTTCTGGTATTACACTGATTCAATTAGAACTTAATATTTATGTGCACAAATAAAGTAAGTAGACAGAAATTGTTCACGGCTGTTTGTGAACACCAGCTAGCCTCAAGCTCTAAAGCAAGAGCAGTTTTGGTTTCGAATCAAACCTTCTCAAAATGTCAGTATAGTGACTAGAATATACTGTATATTCTAGGCACTATATGTCGAGTGTTCGCAAATATGTGCACAGTCGTCCGCAGAAGTTCTTGGAGCACGAAGTTAAATTAATAAAAGGGAAGAGAAGCCAATAGTAACTTTCCTCGCGACCTCATCACACAGCCTGAAGCGAGAGAGTTATTTAGACTGCATTCAATACCCAGCGGAGAATGAGATGGAGTAATGGAAAAGGCCTTATACAATAAAAACATGAACGGAAGAATATGTAAATTAAGAAGATGAAAGTATATGTGGCAATCTGCTAGGTGAATGGGATAAGGAGTTCGACAGTTTATAAAAACAGGAAGGAAAAAAGCCGATGAACTCACGTGCACGTACACGTTTTCCTTATGAAAAAGCCACAGAACAAATGAAACATGCTGACAAGAAGTTCCCTGCATTGCGTTGTTACGATGAGAAAGGTCAGGAGTCCCGAATCTGCACCCAAAGTCAAAGGCACTCCAGTTTTTCTATGCTGTCCTCGTATAATTAATTGTCCCTCCTACTTATATGTTAGGCACTACAGTAAGACGTGCTCTACAGAAAAGATTGAACATTTCAGAAACAACCACAAAGATATCTTTAGGATTATTGTTTAATTATGAAGGGTACTGCAGTAATGACGTTGAAGTTTTTGCTGGGATCACGATATTTTAGGCGAGCAATTAACGTTCTATTAGTGCCATGCTGCGATACTTAGTACTCCGGCGAATATTGAAAGTATTTTAATCTACGTGAACTCAAAAGCCAAGTGCTAGATTTTAGTAGGGCCAGTATTACACTTTTAGGGCATTGGTATTATGGCCCATCTTGTCGCTTTCCGTCTTTTCGATATGCTTGTTCTTTTTTATTTGCTTATGACGCAGCTCAGTAGGCGCGGTTTATTTTTTTATTATTACACTGAATTGAGTACTATCACGTTTTTATACATCATTCTTGTTTCTAAATACTGCCGCTGGCTCGGAGTGCTTATGTACTCAGAGCCGGAGGAACAACGAATACATCTATTAATAAATGTATATTTTGTACGTGCACCTGTACTCGTTGTTACTTATTAATCACCCAATCCAGGAATCTACTAATGCATATTCATACCCCTATATAGTGAAATGAATCCTAGAATATTAAGGTATTGCTAAAAATACCTTACAACAAGAAAAAAAAACTATTTTTACAACTGCGAGGATCAGTAACCTTATCTGAACGTGTGAAGACTTCTCCTACGTATCACGTTACGGTGATGTCAAGCATATGAAGCCGGTAGCACACAGTGGTTGTATTTTTTTTTTCATTTAAATAAAAAATAAGCAATTCGCCTTATTGAACTTGCACGTAGACGTGCGCACGAGGGCCGCAGAGGCGGGGGGGGGGGGGGGGGGGCTGAACGTTTAAGGGGGGGGGGGACGGAAAAGTCACCCTTTACGTTGACTAAGTAGGGAGGGAGACACTGTGACCAACACTCCCACTTCCCACAAGGAACCCTGCATACGCCTACGCCAATGCACATGACCAACCTTGAGGGACAGAAAAAAAAATGTGTATAGCTTGCACAACTTGCGCAAGGCTAGAGAGAGAGAGAAATGTCTTTATTCACAAAAGCATGGAGAAGGAGGGCGTGGGAGGAACCCCTTGTCCGGGGTCCCTAGGACGACTCCAGCGACGAGCCGGGCCCGCTGTATCGGAGCTCGGAGGACCTCGGGAGGTCCATCGCGGAGAGCATCATCCTACAGCTCCTCGTTACGTAAAGGGTAAAAAGGAAAGCAGGTAAGGGAGAAAAGATGTTCGCAGTGCACTCGATCGAGACATGGAAAGTCGTGGGCGAGTTTTCACAGCCGGGGCAACGGTCTGCATATCACTGCGAGTAGAATTTAAGAAGTGATACTAGATTGGGAAATGTTTTAGTCTGTAACCTGGCGTAACGCTACTGCCTCCTCTCACGAGAAAAATGGCGGCGGGGCGCTCTGAGTGCGACGGACGTTCCTGTAGTGACGAACAATGTCTTTGTAAGTGAGAAGAGGATCCCCCCACTCCGAAATGGTCGCCTCGCCTTGCCGGGCTGCCCGGAGAGAAATTTCGTGGGCAACAGCGTGTGCGCGTTCATTGCACGGTAGAGAGGCATGACCAGGAGTCCAGAGTAGTAAATGGATGCGAAAAGTACTGTTTGACTCAGTTAGTGGAATATGATTGAGTATTTGGTGGGCCGCTCTTGGGATGGCATGTCCTGATAGGAAGACCTGACATGCCTGTTGCGAGTTTGTCAATACGTATACGCCTCACGGTGAACACGGACAGCGTATCGTATCGCTAGAGCAACTCCAAGACTCTGAGCTGGCGTACGACCTCAAGTCTTGCTAGAAATGTCAATTGCTTCTACTATAGTGATGCCAAGTGTTTGCTAGTAGGTATACTATACTAGTAGTACTAATTATGGGTTGACATTACTGTTCTCCGGTTTCTGTCGGTTACCCACACTACCCCCTTGTCCCCTTGTTTTTGCGGGAGCATGTCATGTGACTAGTTAGATGGCGTTACGTGATTTCAGTCCCGCCGCTTGATGTAACGTGTTTTTTTTTTTTTTTTTTGCGGGAACATCTCACTTGTGTAGCTGTTACATGCTTTTGGCGGGAAAATGTCCCGTGACCAGCTATTTCGCAATGTTACGTTATTTTAGTCAAGTGAGTAGTTGTTGAGTGGTGGTGCGTATATGCCGCTTTTAGTCCTTATCCGTTCGTGTGCTAAAAAGAGAAAAATGAGCCAACATGACCAAGAATACGCTCTTTTAAAGGGACACTGAAAAGGTTTTGAATTCGCGAATTTATTGCGACTTTGGTATCCGTGACCTTTTACAGCATGTCTACGGAGGGTGTTTTTTTTTTTTTTTTTTTTTTGCGAGGTTCGATTGAACAACGGCGCTGGAACATACCATGTGACTAGCTGTTGCACGATCCATGCAGTGTATGGGGGATAGCCGCCGTGGTAGCTGAGTTGGTTGGGCATCGGGGTTGAGCATTCGAAGTTCGCAGGTTCAATCTCTGCCCACGGCAAGTTAGCTTTTCAACCACCTTTCTTTCTTCGCATTTACATTACAATTACTGTTAATAACATTCCCTATGCTCTCCTTGGCATGATTTTCTCTTACACTCTTAGAAAAAAGGTGGTAGTACTTGCTAACTTTGGGGAAGTAATGGTTTGTCACATATGTTACAACCGTGGTAGTAAGCGCAGTTAGTAACGGCGAGGGTGGTAACAGTTACTACCTCTGCTGTTACTACCAGCAGTTAGTAACTGTTACTACCCTAGCCGTTACCACCCATGGGTAGTAACCTTTAGAGGTTCCAAAAAAAGTAGTAACCGATGCTACCTAGTTCATTACTTTGGGCATATTTCTCCACTGCTAATGTTCGCTAATCAATGCCGTATTATTAGACAAAGTCGGGTAAGAAGCGTGGTGTGCCATGAATATAGCCCAAACAGGTTCACTATTTTTCACGTATACATGCAGTGAGAAATAAGCGTGGAGTATATATAACCCCTACTTTGCAGGGGCATGTCTGTCACAGAGGAGCACTTGCGTTTCAGGAGGAGTTATAATAAATATAAACCTATAGCACTATATTGTAATTGATTGATATGTGGGGTTTAACGTCCCAAAACCACCATTTGATTATGAGAGACGCTGTAGTGGAGGGCTCCGGAAATTTAGACCACCTGGGGTTTTTTAACGTGCACCCAAATCTGAGTACACGGGCCTACAACATTTCCGCCTCCATCGGAAATGCAGCACTATATTGTACTATTTGGTTACGTGTGTTTCGTGACGTAGCACAAGACCTTTAATCAGCCTTACTTATAAAACATTATATGTTATATTTATCTATTATAGAATGGCCACAAAAAAAGGCATTATGTACAGTGGCCGGAACAAGGTACCGAACTCATTTTCAGTGCATTTGAAAGCTTCACACGACTAATATATCAGCTTTTAAAAGGTAATAATCGTTTTGGGGGTTCGACGCGCCAAAACAATGATGATATTTGGAGACACGCTGCAGTGGAATAACTGTGACTGTCCTCGAGGCTAATTTTGACCATCTGTATTTTGATTTGCCGGTCTTGTTAGTGTTTGCTGTAATTTACTAAGTTTGTTGTAATTGTCTATTACGGCGCGTGTAGCACTTGATTATGGTTCGTTAACTTGTACTTCTCCGTTTAGAAAGTATCAGAATGAAGTTTACATATCTCGGTTGAGTAATTTAGAACGAAATGTATTTTCTTGATCTATGTATACCTTCTGCGTCATTTTTCCGTTTAATGATAAAACGTTGAGACGATTCCTCTCATAAAGGATCAGAATCGCATTCACACACTATTTTGGATGAGATAGTCAAAAGCCGAGTAGCAAAGAGGTAGTAATGGGGAAAGAAAGGTAGTAACGGCTGCAGTTACTACCTCTTTCATTCCAGTTGCTAACTGCTAACGTAGGTAGTAAGAGGTCGCAAAATGTTAGTAACGATAGCAGCTAGTAACTGTTTACTAACGTAGGTAGTAAACAGGTAGCAAAAGGGTAGTAACGGTCAAAGAAAGGTAGTAACTGCTGCAGTTACTACCTATTCGCTTGCAGTTGCTACCTTTTTACTAACTTTTTTTAAGAGTGTAGATCTCATTAATATTGTCACTTAATGTTACCCTTTTTAGCCATATGTAACGACATGTCGAGTGATACGCGATTGTGTTCACGTTTCTATACGTTACGTGATTTTCAGGTATGCGAGTGGTTACGTGATATTGCATATAATTTTAGTCACTTCACTAGTTGCGTGATTTGTCACGTGGGAGTTGCCACGTCATGTTATGTAATATTTAGTCACATTACTAGTTGTTGAGGAATGTTAGGTGATTTTAGTCTCGTGACTAGTTGTTACGTCATGTTGCAAGATTTTTAGTCACGTGATTGACTAGCCCACCATAGCTATTGCATTCCACGCCGAGCAGAGTGACGTACGTCTCGTGGGAGTGAAGCAGAAGTGAGAAAGGACGAATTGAGAGCGTACCAGTTCACGATGATGTCAGGGTGACATCGTACCGTGACATCACAAAGACATTCTGCAAATGGTAATCGATGAGCTTTAAGTCGGCCCGATTTCCAACAGATTATATTCGGCAGCACCAGTCAAATTCCAAGGATGAAGGAAAAAAAAACTGAATAACACAAAGTGTCTCAATAATATTTTCAGTCGCTGGTCAGTGCTTATGTCCTGCAATTCATCGACATTGAGTTGCGTTCTGCACTGTTCAAATAGGAAAGAAAGAAAAAAAAAAACACTGGTATGGCGTTGCCAATTCAATCGAACACAAACATGGTAATTAAGCAGCATGTTCTCATCAGCCGTTGCGCATCAGTCCCAACACGAACCGTTCCATGTCGTCCGCCCTCCAGACCTGCCAATTTTCGTTGGACGCAGCCCAGTCGGGTTGGCCGCGGCTCGAGTGCATCTCCACAACCCGCGTGGTGCTCTTGTCGTAAGGGTTCCTGTAGACGTAGCGCTTGATCTTGGGACCGGCTCTTGCACCCCCTCGGCTCCCCGTGGACGAAGCGGCCGCGGGCCGTGAGTCGTAGCGTGATTCGTAGCCCTTCGGTCCGTAGCCGCCGGCGTACCCCCTGCCGTTACCCTTACCGTAACTTTCCCCGTGTCGGTAGCCGTAGCCGCCGCCGGCATGGCCACCTCTGATGGGATAGCTGGTGCTGAAACTCGACTCGTAGCCACCACCGTCCCACGGCCCGCCTTTCTTGTCGTTATCGTCGTAGTGTTTCTCGTAAGACGTGGCGTGGTTGGTGCTGTAGCTGCGCTCCGGGTACACCTTCTCGTAGGCGTAAGCGTGTTCGGTGTTGTACGCCTTCGGACCCGAGCCGTAGTGGTAGTACCTGCAAGGAAAGTACGTTAGACCAAAACATACGCTTGTGCGAGCACAGTTCCCACGGGTGCTTACGTTGGACCACGTTATTTCACAACATTATTATATAAAGTAGCACGGTTCGGTACGCATTTGTCTGACACAGCCGAAAGGTAAAAGCCGTCTTCTTTTTTCGCTTAAGTCGATTGTATTGATCCCTGCAGGAAGCCTTCCCACCGAACATTGTTTCGCAGTGCTTCCCGAATTGGGTGAATTTGAAGCTTCGTGCTCCTTACTTGGATGCCCCCGTAATTTTTCACAGAGCGACGATGCCATGTGATGACGTCGCCCAAATTTTGTTACCTGTGATGTCAGGGTGACATCGTACGGTGACCTTATCACATGAGTTTTTGCATCACTCGTGTCGACGCCAACGGTCATTTTTCGCCTCTGAGGAGACATGCAAGGCTTTCACCTCAATAGTATGCGCGCTTGCACTAACCTCATGGCATCTGGAAAGCCGTATCCGCCTGAACCACCAGGACCTCCGATGCCGCCGTAGTGGTCCGTAGCCGAGGCGTGGTACTGTTCACCGCTGGTGGCAGAAAAAGAGCCGCCATTCTGTGTTTGGTGCAGCATCTGTGACGGGGTGCCAATCGCGTACCTGCCTTCACCTCCAGCAGCTTGAGGTGCGTTCATAGCATCGTAGGTCACAGCCTCTGCTGATTGGAAGCCCGACGGAAGCGCTGCCACAGTGTCCTGAAGTCTTAGTACCTCGAAACCTTGACGATTTGGGCGTCCGGACACTTCGCTAGAGCCTCCTCGCTGGCCGGCCTCGTTGGTCAGAGATGTCACGGTGGACTCTGCGCCTACTACCGCAGCGGCTAGAACCTGCGCGTGAAACGTGCCGGTTTTGTGTGTAATCCCACAAGGAATAGCTGCATATGATTAGTTTTTCAATAAAATGGAAGAGCATGTCTTGGCATACACCCAAGTTTTCACCACCCATAAATTGTGACGGCGAATGCCGGTTAGTGTTGCCTAATTTTGGCTAAATCACGACTTACATTAGCTAGCTCCTGTCTACTGCAGGCGAATATCACCTGGTGAATTCTGCATGTTGGCGGAGTGATGGCTGCCGATGATTAGTGGCTGCCGACGTTGACTGGCGTATGCTATCTGTTGCAATAACTGCATGCACATACATGCACTACAAACATAAATGGTTGTACATGTGCTTTTCTTTCTTCGCGAAATCAGGCCCACCAACTGTTCCTCGGCTTTTTTTGCTGTACCTTGCGTTCACGTCTTCAGTTTACGGAGCTAGTTTCTCTTTTGTAAAATGGTTAACGTATGTTGCTTTCTTAGGAACGAAGCTCTTGCTTATACTATAGGTGAGCGACACTTCTAGTTGTAAATATGTTTTTCTTTTTCCTCGCTTCTACGGCAATGCACTTCATTTATATTCCCGCAGCAACTAGGTTTTCTGTAAAGGTTGTTTCACAAAGTGCTTTGGTGTATTGCAAAAAAGCTTTTTTATTTTAGATTGCGAATTATTGGTTGGTGAAAAAGCGCAGCCATATTTTTGGGCACAGTTGTGCCATAAAACCACACGAGTATAAAAATACTTCACATATGTATGCTAGCCTTAAACAGCCCGTAAACACATTACAAATAATAGAACAGGAGTCGAGGTTTCAACGGAACCACGTCTGGTCGGTTAATAACACGACAAAAATTAGGGGAACACCCGCCACAATAAATAGAAGAAAAAAAAAGCATTTTGGCTTGCTTGATTGTATCCCAAACACTATTTTCTTATTTTAGTTGTGCTCTTTGACCCTCTCTCAATTTTTATTTAAAAAATCACAGCATATCTACCGGAGCCATGGGAGGCAGCGCTGTCCTGCTCGATGCCTGAAGAACGGCTTAAGCTAATCGACAGAGCTCGCAATGATGGCATAGGTCACAGAGCCTCCGGAATCGGGGCCCCACTTTCATCGGAAGAATTTCTTTTGAAGTAAAGTTTTACACTCTTGTCTCGTAATCCGTGGCATGTTTTCTACGCATCACCGACAATTACAGCTCAAAATCATCACTGTTCTATCAGTTTTTTCACCGGCTTGTAATAGTTCTTTCACGTCTCTGTTAATTATAACGCGCCGGCGTACGCGTTCAACAATACGATTGCATCTTTCCGCTGCAGCTTGTGCGTGACGATGGAGGGATGGATATGACAGTACCATTTAGATCGGGCGGTGGCTAGCGCCACCAAGCCGTAATACCTAATGAACCAAAAACTATATATATTTTTTTTTTTCCTTAATGTCCCTAGCACTGCATAGGCGGCACAAGTAATGAACGTCACACGTATGACATCACCGGTAGGCGGCCGCTAGGAGGAGTGGCGCGCGGCGCGCGCGGCTCTCCATCGGAACGATCGTACGCATCGCGCAGAGCGGTCATTGCCAAAGTTGGCTGGCACTTGCCTTGTACGCGGATGTGGAGCGCGCGTAGCGGTCGGCGCCTTTGAAGCTCCTCTCTTGACAGCGCCGACGGGCGGTTTGACTTCACCGTCGAGAGCGCGTGTGTTGACGGGGCCGTTTAGAGGGCAGTGCCTTGACGTAAGATTATCGGCGACGAGCTACGGCGATGCTTTGAGTGTTTGAGTGTCGCATATTGGAACCCCCTGTCCCCATCCACTGGATGCTTTTTGGTGAGAATCACCAGGAGACTTGACTGTGAGGACGGTCGGCGAAACGTGCGTCGCTGGGAAGAGTTGGCGATCAGCGAGCTCTCCAAACCACTCGGAACTGCCCGTGATCGGTGAGTATAGTGCAACACTGCATGTCGGCTGAGTTCTTCGTTATTATTATTTGCAGTTTCTATGTGTTCTGTATTGAAAGCAACTTAGTGTGTTTCGCATGCTTTCAACGCATCGCAGTTCTCGCGCACGCTGCCCAAGATGAGCCTAAGCACGTAGCGCAACGATGCTTTCGGCCTGAAATCTCAGTGTTCTTTTTTTCATGATTACGATTGCACCATGGAGGCACTTTTCACGCTGTGGAGGACGATAATACATTCCTTTTTATTTACTCTAGTACTACCCCGTTTTCGCTAACACTCAATGAAAGGTGATTCGCTTCTTTTTTAAGCTTGCGTTGTGGATTTGTTTAGAAAGCTCTGGCTCGGAATTCAGGCATGATTTCAGGAAGTTGCGGTTATATTTGTGTTAACAAACTACTTAGTGTTATCAAGTCAAAGCTATATGTATTCCGCTGCTATAGAAGCAAGTTGTCATCAGAACTGTTAGTTAAGCCTCAAACGAAGAGCGTCAACGAAATAATATGACCTTGCTAAGCTCCTATTGCCCATCGGATGGTTGACCCGAAGTTAAAGCGGAATCGCGTTGCATGTGTAACCTGTTTTAGCGGACGTCGGCAGGCAGGGTCATGTGTCGTAGATTCGTATATCATATGCTACATGCTGGAACTTCCGGTGCATGAAGTCTGACTGCGGTGCCATTTCTTTCTTTCTTTCTTTCTTTCTTTCTTTCTTTCTTTCTTTCTTTCTTTCTTTCTTTCTTTCTTTCTTTCTTTCGACGCGCGTGCACTCTCACTCGTTTATGGGCTGGCTCACTTCATGCGTTCCGGTGTGGAACTGCTCACTACAGGGTTACGCTCTATCACGTCCCTTCACAACGTGGAGAATTAACAGGTCAACGCTGCCGCAGTTTTACTAGCGCGAGCACAGTCGGTGGTTTCTTCTGCAACACCTCGTGCCCTTGTGTACTATGCCTGGTTGACGCTTAATATTCCACGTTATTTTTTCAAGTTTAGCTCTGCATCACTAACTTAGCAATACTACTCGTTGAACCTACAAAACGTGCCAACCACCGACATCGTCGAAATAAAATGAGAAAATCATATTGTTGCGCAGAAGTCTTTGGTTTGTCGTGCCGTGAGAGGTATCTTGTGACACATTGTGTAGAGACAATGACGAAAAACTAAAGATAAGCGCGGCGTTTGGGTGATGCTATTTAGGTTGCAGCTCCCTGCACCGGCAAAAAAGTTCAAGAAGATTCGCGTGAAATAACCGTGGCAGGTCTAATGAAGACGTCGCCGTGACTACTTTGACGTGGTATCTCTGAATTAAGCCAAGTTAAATAGAAGAAACTTCCACGGCGTGATGTACTAGGTGACACTGCTGCTTTGGAATGCGTTCGCAGTTGAGATAGAGCATGTGGGGAAGGATGCAATCCTTCTCCGCTGCTACATCCTGTGCTTAGCGCTGTCTTCTTCTGCGCCATTCAACACTTTTGCTTGGAGGAAAAAAAAAAGGCAACAAGGTAAAGGATTGAAAAGGGCTCTTTCATCTCCTTTCGCAAGCGATCGTCGTCTCGGACCACCCTTCGCACTGGCCCGCGTAGGCATGGGCAACGCATCTCTGTTTACCCCTGTCCGGCGCACACACTATCCTTCCTCTGCTTCATCATCTCCAGGTGTTGTTGGTCGTTACGGAAGGAGCGCTCGCTTCAATTGCACGCGGCGCGAGTGCAAATAGAGAGAGAAGAGGACGACCAAAGAGGGAGCCTAGATAGATGACGTACAGGGAGGGGAAAAGAGACGCCCTTCGTTCTCCGCTTCCTCCCCGCCTGGGCGTGAGAGCAAACGAGCGCCCGGAGAGGAGGAGCGAAAGAGAGAGATCTCATAGAGCGCTCGCTTCCCGTGTCGCCGCGGACACGCCTTCCCTCAAAAGGAGCAATCAGTCCGCCCGCCCGGCAATCTCGGTGCCTTCTGTCGTGATTGGGAAGATACAATTGGGAGAGGGGGGTGAAAAATGGGAAGAGAGTGCTTGATTCGTGAGCGGGTGAGACCGGTGGGACTCGAAAGCGTGGGAAAGAAGGAAAGAAATATATGCGCGGTGTGATTCCGGTGTGTGTATCTTCTCGAAGTTGTCAGAGTAATGTGACTGTCGTAAGAATAGAGAGAAGAGGAAAGCATGAAGGTTAAGGAGACGCTAGTATCGGGTATGCAGTGTGGTAGGAAAAATTAATTCCGAATTTAATCTTTATAAATAGGTTTTTTGCAGGGAAACAATTTCGGCAAGTTGGTCATACAGCGATGTAGCACATTTACTTTTCGAATTCTTAACGCCCACTGGCCGGTGGCATGGTTAGTTAATGAAACGTAGCTTGAAGCTCGGAAACACACACATATACAAAAAAAAAAAAAACGTTCCCCGTTCAGTAATTTTACAACGGAAGCTGCTATGAGATCACACCAGGGGCAGATAGCTTTTCGCCGCCACCGGTGGCCGTAACCACCATCGCGCGAAATCAGAAAGAAAAGCTAAGTAAATGTAAGATACAGAAGATAACGCAACTTGAACCCAGGACCGCTGAGTGGCAGCCCAGTATCCTGCTACGGAATTACGCGTGTGCTTGAAATGCGGTCTTTGTGCCCAGTATGGAATCGCGTTAGAATGTGTAATAAAGTGTTTTACAACAGTAATGCAACAACCAGGCGTCAAACAATCGAAATTGCGTAACGATTGAGTCGTTGATCGCTCGAACGTATTACAAAAGCCACAGACGTAATTGTTCATCGTCGTCAGCCACAGCACATCAAGAAAGCGCATTTAATTCTTTACAAAAATGACGACTAGTGACACAGTGGACGATTTCATACTACAGAAAAATTATGATGTATGATGTTTGTAGTATGTAGTATATGATATGATATATGATGGTTATCATATATAATGTTTGTAGTATATACGTTTGTTAGTATGTTGCCGAAAGAGTCTTTCGATAATTAATGGGGTTTAACGTCCCTAAAGCACCTCATGATTATGACAGAGATTCCAAGATTGTTTTCAAAGAGCTCCCC